CAATAAAACAAATGCGGATTTTGATAATAGCAGATGGACAGACAAACGTAAGGATGATGTTAGCTGCTTTGAGCACAGACTGATGTCAAATGCAAGATAACAGTTACAAAATGGGGATAAATGGGAGTAACGCCTCAAATTGCTTTCTGATAAAAGCCTAGTGTGATGCATGTGCTAATTAAACCAGCAGACTTCATTTTTTATATTTGGACAATAACACTCTTTTTCATTCAAACACTTAAGGGAAAGCTTTTTCTAGTAATCTGTAATATACAAAAGAATCACAGCATCAAGGCTTATCGCTTTAGTTTGATGTTAGTAATCAAGGATTTATAATACAATAACAATTTTACCACCCAGAGGAAAATGTTCTTTGCTTTGACATGTAAACCAGTAGTTTTAGTTCTGGAAGTTATCCAGGCAGAACTTCACATTTCTTTTGTTACTCTGATATTAATGTTTTTTTTTTGCCTCTACCAAAATAATAACCATGCATCTTTTCCACAAGTTAGAGCCGTCATGTGGTGATCTATGACAAAGTGGTGATCACAGAGTTATTTTTCCCAAAATCAGACCCAGTCTAATTGTCATTTGTGGTGAAAAGGTCCTATTGTGAAAGGTGATATACAAATCCAGAATTGATTCTGTCAATCAGGGCTTACAAATTGTGTAGTTTGAATAGGGCTTAAGACTCTTTATTTACTCAATTTTTAATTCTACCACACCACATACAGTGATATGAAAGAGAAAGTACACCCCCTAATGAGTCTATGGTTTTCCATCTGAAAACATGTCTGACCTTCATCTAGTCCTTGCCAAGTCCGAACAGAAGATAAATCTGACCTCATGTAACAGAAAACACACAAAATTTACTTTTCTGTGATTTATTAAACAAAAAAGTCCGCCAATATTCAGTAGCCTTAACTGAAAAAAAAAAGGGAATCCCCTTTATCAGCAATGACTTGAAGTAAACATTTCCTGTGAGAGCCGATCAGTTTCTCCCATCGCTTGGGAGGACTCCTCCTCACAGACACTGCTTCAGCTCAGTGATGCTTGAGAGTATTTGTTTATGCATGGCTCTCTTTAGGACCCACCACATCATCTCAATGGGGTTGAGATCTGACTTTGACTTCCAAAATTCTGACCGTTTTCTATTTTAGCCATTCAGTCTTCAATTCACTAGTGTGTTTTGGATTACTGTCCTGTTGCATGATCCACTTTTGGCTAAGCCTTTCCTGTTGGACACCAGCAGGAGCTTGACAGTTGGTTCGAAGGTCTTGTGGTCATTTTGCGGTGTTTGGTTTTCGCCAAACATGACGTTTTGCATTATGGCCAAACAACTCCACTTTCATCTCATCGGTCTGGTCCAGAGGACATCGTTCCAGGAGTCTTGTGGCTCATTCAGGTGCAAATTTAAGCCATGCAGTAAAGTTATTTTTGGAGAGAAAGGGTTCTCTCCTACGACAAAAGCACTTTTTGATGATCAGCTTATAATGTGCATGTTTTAATACACCTAATTGTGATTACCTCCTTAACTGATATAGAAGCAGTAAGGGTGCACTTACTTTTTCACACAATGCATCTGAATGTTACCAATTGTTTTGTTTAATAAATGATGATGAAGTAAAATTTATTTATGTTATTTGTCACATGTGTTGGGTTTACCTACTGTTAGGACTTGGTGAGGACTAGGTGAATGTAAGATATTTTTTAATACGTAAAACCATAGAATCTTAAGAGGGTTTACTTTCTTTTTCTCATCATTGTACGTAAAGCATAACTTTAACTAACTTAATATTAAATTAAATAAATAATAAATAAATATTAAATAACTTTAATTAACTTTCATTTCCTTGAACATTTTTTTTTTCAGTTTTCGATGTCCATGGCCATGACATTCTTAGTAAAATCAATCATCACTCTGGTAATGGAGGCAATATCCCCGGTAATATAAAGAAAAAATATGGAATTTGGTGTCCATGAGTAGTGAGAGGATTTCAAAGACATTAACTGCAAGATTGATGATGGCTCAGGTTACAGGCTTATGAAAATGAAAAAGTTCCTTCAAAAAAAAATTCTTACTGAAAAAAAAACATAATGAATAACAGTGCTAGTTGCATGTTCTTAAAATCCAGGCAAAAATGTTTTGCCTCATCAAATCTCAACAGAAACATAATGTACTTAACTCAAATGTGGCTATAAACACAAACCATTGTAAGTAACCAATGAATTAAAAAAATGTATTAACATCATAACTTTTAGATATTTGATGTCAAAATGAGTGGCAGAGAATTATAGTAATGTTAAAATGATAGACTTTGGCTGGGTGAGATTCAAGTGTAAAACATACATTAGATCGATCTATTTTAATATGAGGCAATGAATTTGCTTGACAATTTTGCTCCTGGCTCTGTATCTCAAATAAGACAATACTGTGATGTACACAGCAAGCTGTCTCTTGTGTATATTTTTACTTGATGCATAACTATGACATTAATAACATTTTGAAACACTGTCAATTGTTTTTACAGATAAAATCCTCTGGTGCTTGCATAAAACAATATTCTCTTTCTGTTGAGGGTTAGTCCATAGTCATGATAGCAATAAAATAAAGACTGCTTGGTCCTGATCTAGGACATCATTACCAGAAGTAGTTGACTTGAAAAGACCCCACATAACTTTCTTCTTTTGGTAATTTAAGTATTACTTGGATTAGGTGACCGACTGTTGAGACAACTAAATGTATGTCTAGTAATCAGACTTGACATATCCAGTCTGTGAATGTCACACAGCATGCTGAAGCAATGCAACACTTACCTTTGTGTCTTGCGAAGTATCGTCCCAGAATGATGAGCAGGCACAGCATAGCAAAAACAACAACAGCTACAACTCCTCCTATGACAGCATGGTCAACTGTTCTGGGCACTCCTTCACCTGCTCTTGAATCTGCAATCACAATGAAATCTCATCGTTAGCTAGCTATTTAAACAGTTCAACATGCGCTGAAGAACACAGCCAATGGCAGTAGATAATAATGCATCACAGTATTTATTTAACGGACTTCAATATTTTCAGATTTATACATAGTCAGCCAAAGCGGAGGACTTGGCTACACTCTCGTTTTCGTTGATAGAACCCCATTTACACAATGGAGTTTGAAAAATGATTGGGTACAAATCTCCCAAAATAACCTACTGTAAATGAAAAAAACAGGCCATCTATGCAACCAGAATAACCAAAATATTTTTGAAACAGGAGCATATTAAAGCATTTTAAACTCACAGAATGATAGATTGGACATTAATGTTTTCAAAATTATTTTGCTCCAAAACAGGGTAAGTAGTCATAATAAATAATGTTGAATGATGAAATATATTATACTACTGTAAATATGATCCTTAGACTTTGGGCAGAGCTATGTGAAGGTACATATTTCTGGTTTCTAAGTGGTATTAAGGCTTTTATTGTACAAGAAAAAGCAGGCCAGTCCCAGTAGAACATATTCTATATGGTACCTGTTAGAATAATGGCAAATACAAGCAAAACCTCTCCACAGTTCCTGCTGGGCTCATAAAGGAAAATATGATTTCACAGCTGTAGAAATGTACTGCTTTATAGAGCCCCTCGTGTATGAACTGAACTGCCTCTTAACACATTACACATTGTTTTTGCGGATTTGACTGAAACAATGCAAGTATTTGTCAACAGAACAGCAGTTAATGCCCCTGGTCATTTTCTGTTTTGTAACACCTTACAGTCCATAGGACTCCTGTCGACATGTTTTGTAAAACAGGATTTAAAGCAGCATTCAGCAATCTGATCTTTTATTCACACCCAAGCACAGTGGATTACACCTGATACCCTCATTTCACATAAACGCACGTACGAAGACAGGTGTACATATTCTCAGCAAAGCCTGAATAATTGCTCGTCTCATGAATGCAGAGAATATTCTTGACCTTTCAAGACAAATATTGAAAGTAAAAGAAACTTGATGGGCATCTGAAACAGGAACAGAAATGCCATGTTGGAGATAAATGACTATTTAAAAATAGAATGACTTACAAAGATTAGACAAATGTCATTGCTGATGTAAGAATTTGCCTTGTCAGCACACACCACTGCATTTCAGTTCCTCCATGCTGTCTGTAGATGTAGCTGAACACAACATGTCTTTTAAAGAAAATTAAATCAATGTTCCTTATCAATCAGGATTTCTGCTGTTTCTAAAATGTAAATGTTAATTTATGGCAATGTAAAAGTTTTTTTTTCTTTTCATTCAAACTGTGGTCCAGTCCACTGTACTGAGTCTTTGAACTATTTTGCTTAATTACTGTACTTAATTAATCCCTTCCCCTCAGTAATTTCACCCTCTTTGCTTTGTCTTTCATTTGCAAACTTCCTTGGGCTTACATGACTTACTTTTTTGCTCTCAAGTTTGTGGTTGAAATAAATTGTATTAAAAGGCTAGGAGATCTGGGGAACTCAGGGGTCACCTGTCTTCATATTCCAATTGGGGCTGTTTTATAAACCTCTCGCCATCGGTGTTATGTGCACTAGCATCTTACATTGTTAGGAAAGTTAAAAAAAGAGAAAGGGTTTTGTAAAATGTTCACTGACAGTTCCATTAAAGTGATATACTAGGCATACCTCAAAATTTAAACAGAGCAGCACCCGAAACAGTAAAATATTCCAACTTGTACATGATTTGTGAAGTGATATTTGAAGGATCTCAACTTCAATCTTACTGTGCAAGCACAGCTCAACAAATAAATCTGCCCTCCTGCGCTGTCTCCAGTCAAAGCGAAAGAAATACATTTTGCCCGCAAGACTAAAAGTGCGAATCTCAGTCAATTTTTAAGAAAGATTTATAACTATCTTGCTTAAGAACAGGGCAGGTCTTTGAAGCTCCCAACCCTAATAATATTTGAAGTGTATTGATCAAGTGTACGGATCCATGTCAGCCAAAGTTAATGGTGGTTTGTGGAGCTGAAACCAGAGAGCCTGCTTTGCTGCATAAAAATAGGAGCTACATTTTCTATCAATATCTTTAATTTGGCTCTGAAATTAAGTGTACTGGGTGGAAGATGGGGGAGGGAGAGCAGTCGTTGGGGGTAGGGGGACAGGTAATGACTTTTCATTTGAAAGCAACACAAAATGTTCTCCCAATAAAATTAAAATTGAGACGGAAGCACTGGGGAAAATGGCAAAGAGAAACAGCCGAGCTTTTGTAATCCGGTCGCACAGGGTCCTTCAGATTTTCCATTTACAGCTCGCAATCTCCTGCGCTCATCTCTGTGCTAAAACGGAGAGCAATGAATTTCCTGTGGGAGTTAAAAAGAAAAACGGCGGGCCACGACTTATTAAGAATAACAAAGGCGAGAAAGCACACAGCTTGATAGAAAGGAATGGGCATACACAATTCACCTGTCTCTCCTCATAAATAGCTTTGAAGCAAGACCCAGGGAATAATACTACAGTGCTACCTGCCAGACACAACGAAACATTACTTGATAATCCTAATAGGTTATTTTGCCTTTAGATTTTCTTTCCATGGGGGCAGATTCAATTAAAGTCGCCAGAAATCCTTCTGACACCTAATTCGCTCTTGTCGGAGTAGAGGTAAAGACGTGCTTTAACACAGTTTCCTATTAAGATGTTAATGGGGAATGGTTTACGCTGGCTTCAAGAAGCAGCAACAGGCCACGACGTGAAATAAACAGCGGCCAATGAGGATGTCAAAGATTTCCCTGTTTCGGCATAATGTCTCGCGACTGGCAGTACTGAATCCGGCAGCGAAGTCCTGCAGCAGCATTCAGTCCTGCGAAGTCTTGAATCAGTCTGCTAAAAGCTTCCAAACTCACTTGATCTGACTATACATACCTGATGGAACAGGGCAGGGCTTATGCCACGCCGGAAGGAAAATAAATGAAACACAATGTTTCGGCTGTGGAGCCTTCTTCAGGTGTGAGGCAGAGAGGGACAATGGCAGATGATCTCACACCTCTCTCCTCCTGTTCTCCCTGAGTTTGGACACTCAATTTCATCTGCTTCATGCCCATTTCTCCACAGCTCCCTGCCCCTGCTGCCTGTCTTCTGTTCTCCTGTGCTTTATTTATCTGCTACTGTCCCTCTCTGCCTCGCACCTAAAGAAGGCTCCACAGCTGAAAAGTTGTGTTTCTTTGCACTTCAGCAGGGAATAAATCATTACCCGTTCCTTTGCAGCCTACGCATGCTAATGCAGCTCCCTGCTCAAACTTTTACACATACTTAGCGCTAATTAACACAGATAAGAATGTCGGCTGCTGTCCTCCTCCAGTGCAAGTTTCCATTTATCACAGCCAGTGCCAGCATCAAACGCAGAATATCTCAGTTTTCACTTGGAAGCAGGAAAGGAGAGCGAGTCTTAAAACAGCAAGATTCAGCACGTTCACAATAATGTACAACCCAGCACGACAAAATAAAAGTACTCAATTGTCTAAAACACACATGCACACACATGCACACATAAAGTCCCGCGACTTGAGAGAAGGAGCAGCTTCAACAGAACAGAACCTGCAGGAGGGACTGGAAACACCAAGGACTTCAGAAGCGTATGATGGAGCCAAATTATTCACAGGCTTATAAATCAGTCAAGATCTTTACAGGCCACCAATGAAGAGATTCGAGAGGAGGAGTAATATGCTGCCAGGGTCTTGTGAGTTAGAAGGCTAGTTGCTGGCTTTGCAACTAATTGAGGAGGGTGCAATTCTCACAATTCTGTGCTTTTGTCATTCTGTAAAGTGCTTTGAGAAGCCACCTTTAAAGGCGGCATATAAAATAAAGTTAATTCTTTATAATAGAAGCTGTGAAGCTGTTTAAATACAGAAGAGAATTGGTAAATATTAGCAAAATAAAGAAGTAGACATAGAAAAACCTATACACTGCTATGAGAGTACAAAAGTGAGTCTATAGACCTTCCACTTGGCTACTGCGCTTATTATTGACTAGAGTTTCACAATATACTACTGCAAATGTGCTGACAGCTGAGCAGGGGGCTAGTCAGTGGTCACTGGTTTCTACTTCTCTCACCTTCAGTGTTAACGACAATCCGTGAAGTTTTCACACCTCACAAGGAACACCTACCTATAAATTAACATTTCACTTCAATTCTTCCACCTGTCTGCTTACTAGCAGGAGAAATCATTATGCCTGACAAGGTTACTCAGAAGGTGTGCACCAAGTGCTTGGAGATAAGGTGTCTTGTCACCAGTATGTACAGATCCTAGGGTGCCCAGGGCTTTTATTTTTAAGTTGGCTTCATGCTTTGTTAGCCTAATTAGATGTTATTTCCCACCTTGTTTTTTTTATGAAGCGACCACTCGGAAGCTGCCAGATTCAGAAATCACGGCAATCTATTAAACCGAGACTGAGGAATTGAAATACCTCGTCTTCAGACAAATGTACAATTTATATAGAAAAAGTAAGCACGCATCTGGGAAATGCTAATTTCACTAGAATTTCACTTCATTGTTGCTAACGGTAGAAGGTTTCGAGATTGGATCATTGGTTTAGTACAGATCACAATAATGCGGAGCTGAATACATCCACATCAGAGAAAAATAAACAGCGGGACAGCACTGTAATAAAAATTAACTGACACTCATTGAATGCAAACCTCCTTTCAAAAATGACTGACACCATCGGATAAAACTACAGTCTTCACCACTGCGATCAAATGTAGGTTTTTCCAAATTAAGCTTTATTTAAAACAAGAGGAGTGGTGGGAGTGAGTACTGTATAAAGTAAACACAGAGCGGCTTTCTGAAAGCTCACTCACTGAAACATCTTCAGATAAATGTCTTGATGGCTTTTTCAGATCATTAAACTTCCAGTAACCCAGTGAGCAAGATGGGCTGCAGGTCTTCTTAAGTTCTTAAAACTATTAAGAAATTTTGCTACAGCAG